TTAGTAGATTAAAAACTCTAGATTGAAATTATTTTCTTTGAACACTTTCCACCCCTTCCTCCATCGTGTTCTTGCAGCTTGTTCCTCATGTCTTCTAAGAGATTCACTTGACCTGATGTTTTCACATCCCCATTTATTCTGCACATGAATGCATTATTAGTCTCATTAAATTTTTTTCATCCCAAGTTAATTCTTTGTCATTATTATTATTATTATTATTATTATTTTTGCATTCTGATATTCTCTTTATCTCTCTGCACATATTTACTAGGCTCATTTTTTAATCTAGTCCTCCCGGCCAGTACTATGTTGCCTTTCTTTAACAGTTTCCCTGGAAGCTCCTGGGGCGTGCGGTTATCATCCATCTTCACTTGTGCTGGAGCACAGGCTCTGGTGGGTGCTCCTCCAGATGGGAGGCGGGGAAGGGTCCTCAAGCTGGAGGGCCTTGGATGTTGTCATTTGGCCTCTAGAAGTTCCCTGCCTGTTCCCTCCGCACAGCTGGATTATCTCCTGAGGGCTGCTCCCAGCTCCTCTCTTCTAGAAAGTCCTTGTTTCCTGTAGGGACTGCCCCGCTCTGGTGTAACTGCCAAGCTCCCCCGTATGTTAGGGAAAGGAGGGAAGTGGTGCTCATGGTGACTGCTGCCCCACCCAGCTGTGCTCCAGCACCACCTGATGTTCTCCAGCTGGCACAGGGTCGGGGCTGGGGGATGATAGGGAAGGCAGGCCATGCTGGAGCCATGCTGGAGAGAGGAAAGGCAGGACCAGATGCCCTACCCCAGGCCCTCTCTGTCGGTCTCACCCATTCCCACCTCCTGCCCCTGGGGATCTCCAGGTGGGTGTAAGGACAGGACACTGAGGCTGTGCACTGTCTTGCCCCTCTTGTTGATTATTCTTAAATTTGGTTTCATTTCTGCCATTAGACCTGACTCCAGAGGAACCACCCCTTCCAGTCATTGGCTCGGTCTTGTTCTCAGGGCCTTCCTTGACTGTAGCACACGGTTAAGACTCCTGGTATCTTTCATGCAGCAGCAGTCCAGACAGATGACCACATGGCCATTCCTGCTCTTTTGAGCTGGCAGCAAACAAACCAACCCACTATCTTATCCTCCTGGTCCAGGGGCTAGAAGGAACCTCCCGTCTGCTACCAGAGAGGTTGGCAGAATCAGGGCCTAGTAAGTGTAGCTGTTACGTACTGTGATCTGACTTTTCTTAGATACCATTTAAGAAAAAAAAATAGGACTCTATCCCAGCATAATCCTATTAATTGAGGCTTGCGAGCAATCATATCGATTCTTATTGAATTACAGAGTTTCTGAATTGAATTTATGTCTCCTTTAGTTGAGTTCTTCCTGAAACCATAGTGTGCTAAAATGGAAAATGGAACATTTCATATTCTAAATCAGGGGCCAGAAAATGACCTGTCAGCCCAACCTGGCCTGTTTTCTAAGTAAAGTTTCACTGGGACTCCCCCGCGCTCACTCATGTATGTGCTGTCTTCGGCAGCTGTAGTGCTGCAAAGACAGAGGTGAGTAGTTGAGACTGCGTGGCTCACAAAGCCTAAAATATTTCTAGCTCACCCTTTAGGAAAAGTTTTGTCCACTTGTTTTAAAATGTACCCAGGATCCGTTTTAATCAGGTATCACAAGACACGCAAACACAGAAATTACTGTCATGAAGGTGGAAACAGGAGGCCCAGGACAGCATGCAGGGCCATATTGGGAGGCGCGGGTCGTGCGGAGGTAGGAGTGAGGGGAAGCACGGACCAAAGCCTTTGTGATGGTTTCTATGGGAAGGCAGGGCAGGGGGAGCAGCCCCTACCCCAGCTAGTGTGCATAACTGTGGCCAGCTCAGGGGCAAAGGGCCTGTCTCCAGCTGCCTGATACCTGGCCTGAAGTGCTTAGGGCAAAGGAACATTGCCTCCTGGAGAGTAAGAGCCAGCTGGAGAGGGTGGTTGGGAGCGTAGATTCTGGATTGGCGGCTCCGCATAGGAGAGGCATGCTGCTGGGCAAGGCCTTTGCCATCTCTAACATCGGTTCACCCAGGAGGGGCAGCCTTTCCCCAGTCGGGGAGGTCCCAGGTGCCGGAGCAACAAAAACTAAGAAAATAAGAAAATGCAGGGCCAGGTGCAGTGGCTCATTCCTGTAATCCTCGCTGAGCCCAAGTGTTTGAGACCAGACTGGGCAACACAGCAAGACCCCATCTCTGTAAAAATTAAAAATAAAAGGAAAATAAATGAAAAAAGAATTTATAGTTAATACATCTCCCCTTTGTCAGTGGCAGGGAAATTCTGTACATTCTTATACTATGTTTTGTTTTGTTTTTTAATCTTTCTGTGTTTTTCTGAGACATAACTTTGATCATAATTCCTGTAAAATGTTTTATTTATACATCCAAAAGCAGAATCACTGAGTTCACATTTAAAGAATCAGTATGTGAGTGTGTGTGTTTGTGACTGTGTGTGTGAGAGAGAGATGATACATGTGCATTCCTGGGGTGTCACGGGAAATGTTAGAATTAGGAGCATATATTTCTCATTATATGATCTTCAACACAATCTATTAATATTTTTAGTTCAAAAATACTTTTTTCCTTTAGACTCCAAATATTTCATGTTTAGAACTGCAGAACAGCATCCTGTTGTCCTAGGAATCACCACGTTTCCAAGGCCCTTGAAGTGTCTCATGTCAGTGCTGATAGATGGGCCAGGAGGAGCATGGGTGCCCCTGACCAGCAGGTGCCCACTGTTGAGAGCAGCCTCGAGATTGTCTGTCCCCCCAACTGCGGGTGCACATAGCACCTCAATTCTCTAATGCCTGATGTCCCTCTCCATCGGGTCCCCAAAAATGGGGCAGTTCCTTCTTTCCAGATGCAAAAAAGGTAGTATGTGGCAAGATGAGCGGCCCCAGCATGGCTTGCACGAGGTAGAAAGACACAAGCCTCCGCTGCTCCTGCACTCAAGTACTTGAACCAGTGTGGGAAGCAATGGGCCGCCCCCCACCACCCCGGCGGGGCCTGCACGCTCCCTCCCTCTTCTTTCTAACTGCCTGTGTGGCTTAACTTCTCTTTTTACCTTTCCTCAAAATACGAAGAACTTAATCCTGTTGGTCTCAGAGTGAAACTGAAGGTGAATCTAAACCACCCATTGTGAAATACAGTCTGTCTCTGTGACTCTGTATTCATTTTAATGGGAAAATACATGAACCTTCTGGGAACTCGCTTTGGGTTTAAAACGAACTTGCCATAGGATCGAAAGCCGATGCTTTTTAGTCTGTTTTAACAGAACTCCATGAATGCCATTTCTGTCCAGTGCTCTAGCAAGTGGGGAAGGAGGACGCTGCTGTTCCGGGTGAAGGCTGGGGCTGGGTTTTCCACGTGACCGTGGTGTGCTGGTCAGCGTGGACCTCAGAGGCGCCTTGCAGGAGCACAGACCTCACCAGTGGTCAGGCTGAACTGGAGGACAGTGGGAGTCCTTGGGACCTCAGGGAATAGCCTCAGGAATTTGCCACAGGGCTTAGACAATCCTTATTTAGACTTAATTTAGGCAACACAGGCAGCAGGTTTTTGAATAAAACACCAGAGACCGTGCTTTCCTGAGAAAAATGAAAGATCTACCGCCTTGCTAGAAAGACTTCTCCTTACTGAAAACACTGACTGTGAAAAAAGATAACCTATTCCTAACATATATTTAATCTTGTTTTATGTGCAATGTTGGTCATTAAACACAGGGCTTAGAAAAACAAGTGTGCTTTTGCAGCGCCAAGAGGATACATCTACTTTCTAGGTAGTCGACTTCCTAACATGGTAACATATTGTACCTTAGAGAAATCCCACACTGCCTTTCTCATTCCCTGGCCGAAAAGCCCAAGAAGAATAAAGCCAGAGGAGAGCGTGACTTTTTGGAGTGCTGTGGCAAAAGAGTAGCCAGACGGAAGAGGAACACATGGACTGACTGAATATTGTGTGTCCTGGGAGGGCCACGTAGGAGGCATTTATCAGCGTAACTTTAGTAAAACAGCCTGTCTTAAAACCTGAGCCGCTGTGGATGCCTGAGATTGTTTCTTTGCATTAAGTGCATAAAGGCATCGAGACAAAGAGCGGTCTTCCTTGTACCATTTAGTCCTGGGAGAGGACAGCTCAGTGGACTCGAGTTAGATATAACTGCAGACCCAAGAGCAAGCCTGGTGCTCTTTGACAGTGCTGATGTGCAGCTGTACCGTGGGTTCGCAGCTCCCCCACTTACTAAGTGCTTTCCTGACTCTTGTGAATAAGTGCCACATACCAGGTGATGGTGATTAATCCAGCAGCAGGAAGGCCTGCGGGATAGAACAGGCTTGTAGGATAGAAGGGCTGGTACAGAGAGAATATGGGTGTGCATGTGTATGTGTGTGCATATACATATAGTTTGTGCATGTTGTACATGTATGTGCACTGTGTGTCCTGTGTATTTGTGCTGTGTGTATGTAGTATGTGCAAATACATCTATATGTGTACATGTATATAGTATGTATACAGTCTGTAGTGTATGTACATGGGCGTGTGTGTGTATAGTATATGTGCCTAGTATCTGTATGTATGTGTGTGTGCATGCATGTATGCATATGCTATGTATGTGTGCATGCATGTATGCAAGTGGATGTGCAGTGTATATGTGTCTAGTGTATGCATGCATATATTCCTGTGTATACTTTTGTATTCATGTGTGTGCATTTATGTGTGTGCATGTGTGTGTGTATGTGTGCAGTATGTGTATGCACATGTATATCTCTGCTTTTAAGTGTGTGCACATGTAGTATATATGTGTGAACATGTATGGTGTGTTCATATGTGTGCACATGTGTATTGATGTGTGTTGTGTGGTATGTGCATGTGTGTGGCATGTGTCCATGAATGTGTACCTGTGTGTGTGTGTTGTGTGTGCACAGTATGTGTTTATGTACACACACAGAGCCGCACCTACACCCATTCAGCCCTCGTGGCTATCTTTCCTTCTCCCCCTGCAGAAAAGCGACTTTCCCGGGGGATTTCCCACGCCAGCTCAGCCATCGTCTCCCTGGCCCGGTCCCACGTGGCAAGTGAATGCAACAACGAGCAGTTCCCCCTGGAGATGCCAATCTACACATTCCAGTTGCCAGACCTGAGCGTGTACAGTGAGGATTTCAGGAGCTTCATCGAGCGGGACTTGATCGAGCAGGCAACGATGGTGGCTTTGGAGCAGGCAGGTGAGTTGCCCCTGCTGGCAGGCCCGCGCCCTTTAGGCTTGGTGAATGGTGAGCCGGCCTAACCTACTCTATGAGCAAGAGAAGGGCACAGGTTCTCAGACGCCGGGCAGTTTTCAATTAGGATTCTAGATGCTGCACCGCACCTCCTGCTCTACGGGCCGACAGTGTTCTAGCCAGCATGGGCTGGATAGAGGGGCCGATAACCAGGTGGTGCTGAAATCTCTCGAGTTTTTCCCCTTGCTCCTAAATCCCAGTCCTCCTCTAAGGAGAACCCTATGCTTCTTTGCCTTGCTTCTCTCTGTCCCCAGACAACTCCTCCGTGGGTGTTGAACGAAAGATAGGAAAGACCATGGGCTTTAGAGAAAACAGGAGACCCGTCACTTTCTGTGGACTTGGGCAAGTCAGGTGATCTCTCTGAGCCTCAGTTTCCCGATCTGCAAAGATGAGGAGACTACTGACCCGGCAACACTTTGGGGTACTAACTGACGTGTTCCTTCCTTAGCTGTCGGCTCCCTGCCTGCACTGCCTCTTCCAGCTTCCAGGTTAAGGAAGCATGAAACCTGACCGCAGTCTCCTTCTTTCTCCTTAGTGTTTCCTCACCGCCTTAACATCCCAATGAAGAAAGCATTCAAGAAGCAAGACAAACTCTCTTCTTTGGAATGTTTAAGGAGAAAATAATGAGTCCAAAACAAAAGTCTAAAACAGATTTAGGTTCTTCCTGAGACAAAGCAATGCCAATTTCACTCATGATCATTCACATTGTAAACATTGCACAATCACGTATCTGGGGGTTTCTGAGGCACGCATGTGGAAGATGTTACGGCTGTCTCCTCAGGCCCACCACGCTCCTTCCAGTGGGGGCCCGCCTGCCTGCACGGGCTGATGGTGCACATGGAGCATGTCCTCAGCCAGTGGGAAGCCCTGCTTCTGCTGGGGTGGGGAAGCATCTCCTTCCAGTGCTGACCCAGCCCTCAGCCAGCTCTTCATGTCCACTGTGGAGTGGAGCCTCCACTTCCAAGGCTTGGTCCATGGAGACATCCCCACATGTGTCGTCCCAGGAGTTTAGGGCTGCAGCCAGCAATGTGCTGTTAGGGAATAGAGCTTCTCTCGGCCCTCAGCCAAGACCCAATAAAATTACTAAGCACTTTCTAGAGTTTCAGAAGAAGACAGAAGAGAAGTACCTGTAGGTTGGTATGATTCTGATATTGGTGGATGGACCAATCAGGACGCTGGTAGGAAAGAAAAGGCAGCACAAAACTGTGAGATAAAAGGACTCCCTAAAGGGACTGCTTTCCAAGGAGTGGGCAGGATTTAAGGACACCAGTGAAAGATACTGCTGTTCCTGGGACTACCATCAGACTTGGCGAAAAGACAAGGGGTGAGAGTGGCTGATGGAGATAGCCACTGGCAGGAGGTGTGGCGTCTGGGAGAGAGAAGATGCTGGGGAAATAAATACTCTGACCACACTCTTCCTCCACCATCCAGGTTCTGACCAGTGCTTCTTAATGGCAGAAGGGCAGACTGCAGGGAGCTCACTGATGTGGTCCATACAGGTCACCCTCTGCATACACAGCAGCATGGAGAAGGATAGACAGTAGATCTGTGGGGCCAATGGGAAACATCTAGAAAGTCAGTGTGCCGGGAAGTTTTACCAGACCTGGCTTCTGTGTACACGTGTACACCTGCTTTCATGCCATTGCTTGTCATTGTTTGCCCAGGGCTGTCGTCATCTACCACTTTCAAGAGGGAAGGCACAAGACGCATTTAGACAAAGGACGCGACGGTGCTTAGTGGGGCTTATTTGTGTTGGGCAGGCTTGCGGTCAGGTTGCAGCCACAGGACTCACAGACGCCTCACCAATGGCGTGTTTGGCATTAGAACAGGCTCTGCATTCCCAATAGCTGGATCTCATGTTGTGACTGTGGAGAAATTGTTATCTCAGCTTCTTCACAGCCATCAAAAGCAACCCAGTGACTGGCACCCACAGCCTTGCTCTGTCTTACCTCAGCAAGATTCAACAAACATAAAACAATTCAGCTAGATGAGCAATAACGTAAACCACTCACTGTGGGGGCTGGTATCTTAAAGACGCTTCTATATGACTAATTCAGATAAGATATTTTCAATGGAAAAGGCTCACTATTCATAGAGAAGCGGAAATTAGTATTTGTTAAGAAAGAAACAAGTTTCATGGGTTACTGTCTGTTGAATGCTACGGCAGCGCAGACCTTTACACAGCTCAGCACTGACGATGGCTAACAGCTCGGGTGTTTGTAGCAGCTGCCTGAGTGCTGTGCTTCGTGGGAAGCCAAGTCTCGTGCAAGGTCGTAGGTAGAGCTCACCGTGTTACCTTCTCCTTGAGCCCTACCATGCTTAGCAAAAGCCTTTGCTTATTTTGAACGTCTTTTCTGTTATTTTTTTCCATATTTTTCGTATTAATTTTTATCACTTGTATTTTACCTTCCAGACTAACATTTTAAGATGAGACTCTGACTTCATCCAGTCTTGAGAAAACCTTTTAAAACCCCAAACTTAGTGAGTTAAGATGTTAAATTATGAAGAGCTCATTGTTTATGTTGGGCACCACAAAGAGAACCAACTGGAAGCAGAGGTCAGTGAAGGCAAGAGGCTCAGGCTCCCATCCAGCGGTGGAGAAGCCTCCGCTCACAGCCTACAATCACAGGAGGCCTTGAGGAAGTGGGTCTCACGCTTCAGGGAGTGGTCAAAGGTGCTTGTGGTGCAATTAGCACCTGAAGATCAGGGGTCTACCTGGGACAGGAGTCCTAGTAGCCAACCTGTCTTCCTCGTCCCTCGCGCTGAAAAATAACGAAAGTGGCTAGATGTGGTGGCTCACGCCTATAATCCTAGCACTTTGGGAGGCCAAGGCAGGAGAATCACTTGAGCCCAGAAGTCTAAGACCAGCTCGAGCAACATAGTAAGACCCCGTCTCTACAAATAATAAAACAGATTAGCCAAGCATGGTGGTGCACGCCTGTGGTCCCAGCTACTCGGGAGGCTGAGGTGGGAGAATCTCTTGAGTCCTGGCAGTCGGGGCTGCAGTGAGCCATGATCACACCACTGCACTCCAGCCTGGGTAACAAAGCAAGACCCTGACCGCCCCCCCCAAAAAAAAAAATAGAAAAAAAAAAAATAACAGAGGTACACAAACAACTGTGTGTGTACTCCCTCAGTGGCGTGAAGCAGTCTCTGGCCTGGGTGATAGCGTGAACCTGACCCCCACCCGCCATCCATCTGACTCCTCCGGACTCCTTTCCTCTGCTCTCAAGTGGGGTCTTAGACTAGGTCATTTCTCAGTACCCTGCCACGCTCAGACTCACGTGAAGACCCTCAGCTGGCTGGTGCTAAATGGGTCTCCCACAGCCCCCACCCCATCTGGGTGAGCAGTTTGGTCACTAGAAAGCACTGGTAGCTCCTGCACCTTCCACCCCACAGCCAGGCTCTGCTCCCATGGCCATGTTTCCATCATGTCACTGGCCATGTTTCCATCATGTCACTGTCCATGTTTCCATCATGAAATGGCCGTCCAAGAAAGCTGCTCAGTGTTGCTGGGTACAAACGGTAAATGTCTCTTCCTAATAGCTTAGTGCTTAGACTCTTTATGAATAAACTGTTGATATGCAATATTATTTTACTGAATATATGAGAGATTGAAATACAGATGTCAAAAAATTATTGAGTAAAAAAACAATCCATTTGTTTAAGGGACAGTTCTAGCTGTGCTTGGCAGGAAACATTATCTCTGTCATAAGACTTTGGATGGAGGACTTCCTTTTCCCTTGGGACAGAACATGAACCCAGGGCTCAGGTGGTTCTGAAAATTGGCGAACAATGGCCTTCACTCAGTTAACACTGCCCACGGTCCAGCTGTCCATCCTGGGGCCTGATTCCACTCTGCCGGAGCCCTGCGTGGTATCTGCCTGGCCTCCCGAGCCACATAAGCAGCCCCATCTATTTTTGAGGCCTCCGTGTCAAGTGGAGTGCTAGTCTGGACTCCCATAAAACCCACAGATCTGGGAGACTGGTCTTCCCAAGCCTTCAAACCCTGGAGAGCTCAACCCACTCCCACCCCATGACAGTCTCAGGGCAACAGAAGGGCGAGATCTTCTGGACCTAAAACCAGCTGACCTCCTGAGAGAGGAAGGGAAACACCTTTTGTTTTCTAATGACTAGCCTGCCATTAAGAAGGCAAGAAACCACTGTTTTTGCCATCAGCTGATCCTGCTGCATGGATACAGGAGATGGCTCAGAGACCCGGGTCTCTGGGTTTGGGAAGTTTCATCTGCTGCCTCTGGCAGCAGCGAACCAGCATGTGGGTGAGATGGTGTGGTTCTTCAGTGCGTCTGGGGGCAGAGGGCAGAGGCATTTTTTGTATAATGCAGGAGTCACTGCATACATGGGAGGTGGAAACACAGATGTTGAGAAATCTCTAGACACACCTTTGAGTTGTGCTCCAGGGGAGGATAATTGGATTGAGGGGAATCTGCTGGGGAACCTGCCAGAGAATCGTAAGCTACAGAGGAGGCTGGCAGGCTTCCGAGTCAGCCCAGCCCTGGCTGGGGGCCCGGATCAGCACGGGGAGCTTGGCCACGTCACTGGACCGGCTTGAGCCTCACTTTCTTCCCTCTGAAAGTCGGAGATGTGTAACGGCGGCCAAATGGAGACAGATTGACCCAGTGTCAGCCTGTGTTGAATGCCCACAAAATGCCCCATCCAGGTCTGGGGTTACCTCCACACTCCAGGCAGATGAAACCCCTGCCCTTAGGGAGGTGAAATTCCAGTGGAAGAAAGCCAGTGAACAAGGGGAGCATGAACATGAAGTGGGGCCTCAGCGGCTGCTCTGGGGAGGTTAGGAAGGAAGGTGAGGGAGTCCCAGGATGCCGCTGGAGGGCAGGGAGGGAGGCAGCAACAGACACGTGCGGGCCCAGCTTTCCTGACGCAGGGAGTCTAGCGTCAAAGTCTTGGCATATTTAAGGAAGCCA